GCTTCAACATAAAAGAGGATGGTTAGTGTCACTTCCTGTCACTCTCATGGTCCAAAGTATAGTCAAATGTAAAAAAAAAAAAAAAAGAAGCTCTTTAAATAGTTCTTCTTTCCATCAAACTGCAATCAGCTGCTCTGTATTTCTACTTGATAAATTTTATTGCGCCATGATTCTCTAATTACATGCTTGAATACCGAGACAAAGATGAAACGTGTTTGGAAGATAACAATGAAAGCCTGTGAGCAGCAGAAATGTGTTTTCAGAAAAGGAGGCCAGTCATTTTATAGAGAAGAAAGATCATTAACGTTTGCCCCAAGCGCTTTATATTCTTCCATAAATGCAACATTGTGCTTGAGTTATTTTAATTAAATTAGTGATTTTGCAAATTGATTTCACAAATAAACAAGTTTTACAAACGTTAGTTAGAGTAAAAGTTTAAGCCAAAAGTTCAACATGTTGCAGTGCGGAAACAAAATTGCAGAGTGTTGCACCAGTTTGGTAAACTTTGCTGTTTCCCAATTTCATAGAGTGAATTGGAAAAACCTCCAACCTCCAGACTTTATACACTTGTAGAGGTTGTTTCCAGTAATACAGGGGCTGGGGAAATATACAGAATTCATGTTGGGAAAAAGCATCTTCATTCCTTTACTTCACTCAATAATTTTCAACTTCATCGATTTGACGACTTTTGCCCTGCAAATAGTCACAACACATGCATTTTTCTGAAAATAGATGTTCTGCAAATAGTGAAAACTATTCTGGAAATGTTTCCAGGGGACCCAAAAAAGTGATGAACCTGGCTGTGGTTCAATGCTATTTGCAGCATGTTTCTGTATTTGCACGTGTCATCAAGTAATGAAGATGTTTTCTTAATTTGCAGTGCGTTGAGCTCTCTCTGCCACCATAAGAATGTCATTGTATAAGAATTAGTGTTATAAGGTGACTCCAAAAAATTATATTCAGAACACATTTTTAAAAATGTAAAAAAAGTCATGCTAGCCATGACAACATTATGAGTTAATGACAGCTCAGAGATGCATCATTTTCAGATAGTTGCACTGCCCCCAAGTGGCAAAAATTGTTAATGTATGGGTATTTTATTATTATTAGAAGTAGTAGTAGTAGTAGTATTGTAGTAGTAGTAGTAGTAGTAGTAGTAGTATTGACTCCATCGCCTCTTTTTTTAGCAATACAGCACATTTACTTTCTATCAAATGAATGTTCAGCATGCATCTCAAGTCCTGTTAAATACACTTTTCTAAGTATTGAATCAGCTGCAGAATATTGACAAACAGATTTGTCCCTGAATGCACCACACACAAACTGTGTGCTGAGTTTGAGTACATATGGGTGGAGAGCTGCTGCCCCAGACTGCACATGTTAAAAAGACTAATGGTGATTCTCATGTATTGTGTGTGAGCCATGGAACGGAGTGATGAAATTACACTTCGGTTCAAACTGCTGACGAGGGATCATTCATAGACCGAGAAAGCTGCCCTCCCCCACCCCCTTAGCCTCCACTGGGCTTGTAAAGGACAAATGAGCTCAAGCAATTAACTCGCCGCTTAAATGTGCCTCAAATCTATTGACAGATTTCCAAAGAAACCAAGAATAGAAGAAATTGATGCAGCTGGTCAATAGGAGGAGAAACCAGACTCTGATAAGGTGGTATTGTTGGAGTTATTTACTCGCCTGCTGCTCATGCAGCATTAAGATTTGTCCTCTCTTTGTGCTTTATTTTATCCTCAACTGAGGTTCTTATTCTCGCTGATGCAAACAACCCAAGCTCTTTGTTCGCTTTAGTCTCTAACAGAGGCAGAATCTATAATCCTTTATTTAACAAACCCTATCTAAAGAATAAATAGGTACAAACATATAGGTCTATAAAGGCAGCCAGGAAGAAATAAGCATCTTGCGGACATGATGTACAGTAGCTGTTGGGGGGGCTGTGTTCAGGCAATTAATTAGGTTATTTTGTTGCCCTGAATGTGGACAGAGGGAAAACAACTGGAACTTTTGCTTTGGATTCTCTTTATTTTTCAGCACCCAGACATTCATTAATGTTATCAGACCGGTAACCTCTGAACACAGAGATTGTGCTCTGCATTGTGTTACTCTGCCTCTGTTATGAACAGGGGAATTGTTTGGTTGCAATTAAATTGACTGGAAATGAATTTAAATGTTTTGATATAATCGTCTTATTAAAATATTTGTTTGCATCAAAGCCAAATAGCAAATTGCAGCAAAAGAAGACACACTGTGTTTAATCATCCAGAGTCAACAGTTTGACCTTTTAGTAATTCTAATAAATGTTGGAAAAAAATACATTTTATGGTATTTATCCTTCTGTGCGGAATAAAATTCACATGTGATTACTAAACGTGTGACACAGCAGGTTTATTTACATTTCTCACTTAATCACATTCCTCTTTTCTCCTGTGCACACTTCTCTTCACTTACAGTATCGCCTAGCAGTGTTTTTCATTATATTACTCCAGTGTGATGAAAACTTGGCATTTAAGTTATAGAGTGGTAATTGGTAATTTAATAGGACAAAACATGTCAATGAAAACAGCAGCACAGATAAATCAATGGTGATTGTTGACATTTTAAAGCAGCCCGATGGTTTTTATGCAACGAAGGGAAAATAAAGGTGGAAAAAGAATTATCTCACAGAACAAAAGAGCAAAAATATTTTCAGTCAAATACAATTCAGATGAAATAAATTCACAAACCTTTATTAACCCTAACTCTGCCCTACTTGGTCTTAAAGTAATGCTAATGTTTATTTGCTTTATGCTTAGAATACATAAATGAGAAATTTGATACCTGTGTCTGTACATGAATCTAGATTAGGTCAGTTTAAAAGCCCGTAAAGTGTGCAGAGAGTGAAACAGCTGGCCAGTCCCCTCCTGCACCTCTAATGCTCACTTATTAAAACGTTATTGCTTGTTTGTTTCATCCAAACACAAATTGGGATACTGCTGTTGAAAAGGGAGTCATATGCTGGAAATATTTTTGTGCAGTGCAGAGTGGTTAATCGTTTCAACTTGCTATGCTAGGCTTACAGTTGGCTAGCTCTAGAGTCATATCATAGACTGTATATAAAGATGGGCCACGAGTCTCCACTTCCTCCCACTATCCAGAAACAAAGCCTACATATCCCACATGTGAACGCTGAAGACGCAACTTGGAGCCAGATTCTGACGTGGCGACGTCCTGCTGAGACACTTGCATTGATCAATTGCGAGCTAGTCTCAGCTGTCAATCATGACATTTGCCCTGGTTTGTCCACCATCGAATGACTTATTTAAACCAAACCCACCTGAAAGATGAGGACTTAGTCAGTGTGGTAAGAAATACCTAAAATGGCAAAATCTTTGAGAAAAATGTATTTAACTTTGACCTTTTAGCAAAACCCGTGTCCCATCAACTAACATAGAGGAGGCAAGGTACATGACAGATACTGCAGCCGGCCATCAGGTGGTGATCAAGATGCTTTAGCCTCACTTTTGGGGAGACGTCATGTCAACCATGTTTATATATGATTCATATTGGGCGTGCATGCTGAAGTCATATCAACCTTATGATCCCACTCTCTGCAAGAGAAAAAAAAGTAGGGCAATATTCTGTAAAACTGTTGTCACTTTATTGTCTTGTCTTTATAGCTGCAGCTTTAAAGATTTGAATGTTGAACACTCAAAACATCAATTCTGACTTTCCAGTTGGTTAAATTCAGACTCCATGTTGCCAACAAGTCATTTCCACCCTATTTCTGTTCATATTTAACCCGGATCAAATCCACTTATTAGAGTCAAATGTATCTAAACTCCCAAAATGACACCCACTTTTGGGAATATGTTTCTACAATAGTCACATTACAAACTGGAGTGACTCCAGCTAACATAATAAAAAAATCATCTTTGTATGAAGCTGAGCTTTCTGCCAAGCTGAATCCTCTGATTGCCTCACATAAATGGAGCAAAGCACCTTTAATATCAGCCAGTGCCACATCTGCATGCAGCAGAGTGTCAGACCTCATTATGCTACATTTCTGAAATCATATTTGAAACTGGCAAAAACGAAGGACTAGAAAATGTTCTATAACGGCGTTCTCACACATTTCAACTGCATTTTACAGTTTTTTTCTCAGACGAGCTGCCTCCCCTCAGTTATCAATTATATATATGTAATTGATTCATGACTGAGCTGCAGATCCATTTTTTTCTTTAAATTTCAGACTTCATCCTTTTTTTCAGGTTTCTTTTTCACAATTATTTCTACTTTGATTGATACCTTCCCCCGCCTCTCTATACCATTGGAGGTCTACTTCATCACCGGAGGAAAACAATTTCATCCACTGGCTCCACCTCATTCTCCATTCGACTGTAGAGAGAGTGTGTGTAGAGGGGCAACAAGCTTTCTACTCCTTTCTACAGGCTGCAAGTCAACAGACTAAAAAGCATCTCTTCAATCTGTGGGAAAAGGGAGGAGTTGTATTTCGGGGCAGCTACTGCACAAAGAGAGAACCCAGCGAAATCTGCAAGTATTGTCTGGCACTGGAGAGGGAGATGGAGGAGTGAAAGATCTGAGCAACAGGGGTAAGCCTCACCGGATTTTCAAAGTGATTGCCTCTGTGAGTGAAGCCGTTGCTTACATCTGCAATTTTCACGTCCATTTATATATTGATGAAGGACTGGTGATGGTTACGCTTGATGGTTTTTGTTAATCGAGTGATTCAGCTGTTTTTCTCATAAAGGACTCATTATGTAAATCAATTTTACCTCCCCCAAGGACCTCCCTTCTGATCTTTATACCTTTTCAAGCCTGAACAGTTGGACAACTGCATAGTAGGACTTTGCTGCTACCTGGAAATTTTTTGCTAAATAAGCCTCAAGATGGTTGTGGAGAAAGCCACTGTGTGTGACTGAGGGAAGTCTGTGGTGGGCTACTGAGAAACGGCGTCTGCTAAAGAAGCACCTGCCTGGGCTCAAGCAATTATGGTCAAAGCACCCACATCCGAATCAATCGCCCTGGGGCCACATAAACAACATGATGCCCAGGAAACAACTCCCCAAAACATCAATGAGTCCAGCTCGCTGAAAACAACATGGAAAGAGATCACAGTGGCTTTTATAATGAGGACCAAGATCCACGGTTTAAAGTTTGTCTTCTCTCCGGACAAGTCCAAACCCCAGCGCGTCATCTGGATCATGGCCTTCTTTGTGTGTTTGAGTCTCCTCGCCACCTGGTCCTGGAATCGAATCCTCTACCTGATGTCCTACCCGGCCATCACCAAGATCTACATGGTGTGGGCTCACAACATGTCCTTCCCGGCCGTTACTTTCTGCAATCAGAACGTTTTCCGAGTGTCCACTCTGACCAGGGACGACCTTTACCACAGCGGCTACTGGATGGACCTCATGTATCCCAACCACACAGTGATGGAGCGGAGCCTGTCCATTCTGAAAGACAACCACAAACAGGGGCTCCTGAGCCTGCTGGACTTCACCAACTACACCCCGCCCCCTGATTACCGCATCAACACCACTGAAATGATGGGACGCCTCGGCCACCAGCTGCACGACATGCTGCTGGAGTGCAGGTTTCGTGGGGAAACATGCACCTACAAAAACTTCAGCACTGTATGTACGAGAAAGAAAGATGGTGTTTGTCAGGTGTGGATATGAATGTGGTTCACAAGGTGTATTAATAATTCATCCAAGCGTTTGACGATGCTCCCTCCAGCAGCGTTCTCTCGGCATGTTTTAAGGTGTTGATGTTTCAAAGCCGCAAACAAGCCTGTCCTGTTTTTGCCTCTCAGACATGACAGCTTGTGAATTATTAAACCTGATGTCTTCAAAGAGTCGACAGAGGAAACAAACACAGCCTCATCTTCACATTGTGGTAGAAAATCAATGTCACCATCAGTGACAATCCACTTCACAGATTTTGAAGTTTCTCATTCAGCGATATTCACGCGGGCGAGATGTTGAGTTGCCAGGTTTATAAACCGTGACAACGCCATTAAGGAGGAAAAATTAGAGCATCAATTATTCAGACATCGTAAATCAATCCAAATTACAATCTTAGCTTCTCTAATTAAACATCTGGAGGGCATGTAGAGTAGATGGTCTTGCTTCAAAAATACAGCCAGAGTTTATCCATTTCAAACACCAGACGGAAGATTATTATACCGTTCGAGTAAATGCTGCACGGAGGAAGTGGATGACGTTAATCCAGATGGTGATATTCCTAATAAATATAAATAAATCAACTCGTACTGACAGCTTTTAGTGTCAGAATCCTCACAAGATGAAATGGTGAAATGTCTGCAGTGAGAAGCAGAGTGACACATTTATTTCTACAGCAGTGAAAATAATTGCTGGGGGAACTCGCTTGTAGATTTAAAACAAACCCAAAGCAAATCTGAACATCCACTTTAGATTCTCTAGACATCAGTGATTAAAAGCATGTATCTGTGACAGCTTCAGCTGGACTGTGACTGCTGAAATCAGCCAGATTTGGATCGTAATTTTTATTTTTGTAATCGGATTTAAAATGTCTGTTTACATCTTAAGCACCATGCGTTACAGCTGTGTCGTGACTGAATAAAGCTCCTCTTCTATGTACCCTTTAATGATTCACTGGTTAGATTCTAGGTTTCTGCCCACACTGCAGACCTCATTATTTAGCCAGCAGGTGGAAAGGAGCACAGCTCAGTTATCTGTCAGAGCTGTACGTAAGTCTGTCCGAGACTGGACATGGAACACTGACTCTGATCTCAAGAGACCAGCTTTGCCATCGCCTTGCTGTCTGAGTTTTTTCCAGCAGGGCTCTGACCACAGCCTCACCACACTGGATACTGAAAGAAATGTACCATTAGATGGATTCCTTCCTTTTGTTATGTTGCAGCCTTATTCCACAATGGTTTAAATTGGTATTGTCCCCTCATCAATCTCTACATAATGACAACACATTGACATAAGACACTTTATATGACATCTGAATTTAGTTTTTCTCTCTGATATTCATTGTCAGCTTTGGGTTTGTGTATTGGTTTGTTTGTTTGTCTGTAAGATAAAAAACTACTGGAACGATTTCCATGGAACTTGGAGTGATGTGGTATAGGACTTTTTTCACTCTCTAAAACATTGTACAATGTTTTTCGACATTTAAGCGTGTGTATTTGGTGCATCTTAATTGAATTTGAGGGGACAGTGGCACCTATAGGCAACTGAATACTTTATTTTGAAGTTTAGCTAACAATAATTAATGTTGAAAAATATATTTTACTCTCCATTTGAATCTGACATGAAGCAATTATCATATCGCTAACAATATAGTATCTTCAGTTGGTAGACTTGTATCTTGCTGAAGTATTCTTAAATTAACCTGTATTTAGAAATATTCAGTCTGTATCCAACTTGTAGAGTGAGTTCAGTTTGAAATGTCAGCGTTTCTAATCATAATACAGATTTATTTCTACTTGTTTGGCAGATCATTTTCCAATCACAGGGAAAAACCATAAAATCCAAAATATATGTCATTCTGTTGGGTGTGAAAATAAATTACTCAACCCGCTTGGAGTACTTAAATCAAAAAGATATTTGATGTGAGTAAAACCAACACATCAATTGTTAAGAGCCAATGAGCTTCACTGGCACAGGTTCAGTCTGCTAAGATGTTTGTCAGTCAAGTGTTTTTAAAACCCCATTTAACTCCCACCTCCGATGTTTCCTCTTTAATGGCAGTAGAGTAGTACGTTTACTATAAATGACTCCAGGGAAATTTAGAGTGAAATTGGGGAAAGATTGATAGCTGCTGCTGCTGCTGCTCAGAGAGTTCCCATTAATTCCTCAAATCAGAGCCAGGTGCCTGTTTAAAGCCAGCACTGTTTCCCTCTGCACTGATTACCTGTCCTGCACAATTACAGGCTGACATTTATACATCCTGCACTCTTACACAGTTTACCCAAGCACAATGTAAAAAGTTTGACTTCTTATTTATACTTATTTCTGTCTTTGTTTTTTCTTTACAGATTTACACACGCTACGGAAAATGCTACACGTTCAATTCAGGATTAGACGGCAACCCTTTGTTGACTACGTTAAAAGGTGGTACGGGAAACGGCTTGGAGATCATGCTGGACATCCAGCAGGATGAATACCTCCCCGTTTGGGGAGAGACAGGTCAGTGCGCCTCTAACCACCATTCTGAAATGTTCTTGTGCAACAGTTGTGTGGAGACTCCTCCATTTTGTTTGTTTAACCTGGAAATCAAGTCATCTCTCTATTGCTGTATGTCAATGTGTCACTTCATACAGAAAACTAGAATTACTGCCTCGCAGTTTTATGCTCCTGCAAACCACTCAAGTTAGATCAATCACTGAGTTTCTGAGTTTTGGATAATGGCCGGTAGAGTGTTTTTTTTACCTTTGACTGTTATGATATAGCAATATAAAATATCATCAGATCATCATTTTATCCTGTTTTGTCTAAATCAGCTGATTGAAATTGAACTTTAACCCTTTTAACTAAATTGTAATTAACCACTTAATCCTTGACTCCAAGTGGATGTTCGTGTCAGACATAGGCAGTAAAAAAAAGATATACGATGAGTCTCCACTTCCTCCCGTTGAATGAAGCCAAAATATCTTGCATACAGGGGCTGCCATCTTGCACTTTCCTTTGGATCCAGAGTATGTGAGCAGTTAGATCATGGAGTGGAGCCACGGTAGCGAGGTCCCGCCAATAGACCAACTCAATTGAACATCAACATCTTTACTGTACATTTATAGATAAGCAGTATGTAGTGAATCTTTTGATGAAAACATGTAAACTATCGTCAAACTAGTATATGAGTATCTCTCTCTCATTAGCTTCTATCATGGGGTTTATAGACTCTCGTTTTATTCACATCCATCCCAGCATCACTCCCCACAAAGCGGGTTTCCATAAGCAACGACCTTGTGTTACATGTTCTGGCGTGCTGTATCCACAGATGAGACCTCCTACGAAGCAGGCATCAAGGTTCAGATCCACAGCCAGGATGAGCCGCCCTTCATTGACCAACTGGGATTTGGTGTGGCCCCTGGTTTTCAAACTTTTGTGTCATGTCAGCAGCAACTGGTACCTAATGTTCAGCCTCCTCCCCTGCAACCTCAACCTTCTTCTTTTTTTTTTTTCTTTGCTCTGCTTCATTTCATGTTTGTTGCCAAATCCCTTCCAAGCCACTGCCCATTACCTCTGTGTCACAGAGCCCGGAGCAAAATCAGATCTGATTAATCTTGTGTGGGGAATGTGCAGTGAGTGAAAGTGTTAAATAAACATCCAGCGGGTCCGGGCACGATAAATGAAACTGAGGAATTTCAGCAGCCAAGGAACATTGGTAGAGCAGAGCCAAGTGGTGATTGGATGCAAGCATATGAGCATACTGTGCTTATCAGAGCCAAATAACCTCAGACCATACAGACGGCAAAATATCTGGCAGAGAGTTTGTTTTATTCTTCGTACTTTAGTCTGGGAGAAGTGGATGTATGAAAATACGAATACAGCTATTTGAATGCTGTGAAAACGGTCTCGAGTGGCACAGTTAAAGAGGAGGCAGAGAGAAGCTGTGATAGAGACGAAAGGATTTCACACAGCAAAAATGTAATGATTATAAACATTACCTGCACAGTACGTAACTTCCACTGCTAAAGGTCGCTCAGGCAAAACAATAACGAAAGACTTAGTTTGATGATGTCGTTAAGCAGCATAGGATCATGGGAGTGGTTGTCTTCACCACCATTGCCCTTGAAAAGATTTCAGGAGCAAATCACTTCACAGTCACTTTATTGAAGAATTGGTACATTTTATATCTTTAGTAAGTCAACCTAATTTAAAATGAACAACCTTAAAAAATTATGAAATTATATGATCTTGTGGTAACGGCTTCAAAGCCTATCAATAAATAATTGACTCATTATATTTTGAGGGAAAGATAATGGAATTATCTTTATATTTTTGCTGGCAAATGTGACTATCAACAGAAGGTGCACCACTCATCATATTATTTTATTTTACAACTTCACTTTCACACTTTAACTCTGCGCCCATAGTTAACAAAGTCAACCCCCTTGGCTATTTTGAAAAAAATATTTTGAGATGTATCATGATTTAAGGACACTGTAAAAAGGGATTCCAAGAGGAGCAGAAAGAGCCTGCGGTGTGTTGACCGTAAAAAAATAAATTTGAGCTCGGCCCTCGACTGTCCCCTCTCTGCTGCCAGGGCAGGATGAAAAGTAATAACTATAGTTGAGACCGAATTGATCGGAAAACCCGTGTGGAAGGTCGTAATACTGAGCAGGCATGGATTTCCTATCCAAATCTAATGAAACTGTACGGCAGTTATGTGATGTTGCCAAGACAACATTCAAGTTGTGTCTCTTGCACTAGAATAGCACACAAGCCAAACACCAGTCTTTGATTTCCAAAAGAAAGCAGTGACAGAAAAATATCCTGTCAAACAGCAAAACCCAAGGAAAAAAATCCAGATGATAGGTTTCTGCAACATCTACCTCTGAGATCACGGGTATTTTTGCATGTGCTGCAGGCTTATTCATATTTTATACCACAAAATCACCCCCTGGGAAGTATTGAAGTAATGGATACTCGAGCAGTAAATCTAATTCATTGCTATTAGAATCAATCAAGTCTAATTTAAATGATTTTGCTCCTAAAGTTAATGGTCTTGGTCAGTTCCTGAGCATGAGATAAATGATCTAAATAAACACTCCACCCCTCTCGGAGCAGAATAACATGGGATGACGGAGGCAGCAGGTTTGGTCTCATCAAACAGACACTTGGACACCACAAAGATGACAAATTTTATTTCATGTAGTTTTGAATGTACAATATGTGTCTCTCTCTTTTTTTTTTTTTTCTCTCTGTACAAATGCATCAAACTGCTCTAAGTGTATCATCATTCAGCCATCTCCAAGCTGTGAATCTGGTCTGGTTAATCACCGTCGCAGAAGTTTCCTCCAGAAAGCAAAAGTGCACGAGTTGTCATTTATAATCACGACACGAGCGCCCACCCCAGTGACAGCTAAGAGACGTGTTTATGGCCTGAATTAATTAGACTGTCATAAAAGTCTTGCCAGCTGTAATTTCTGTCAGTCTCCAGTAGAAGTGCAGTGACACGGCTCTCAGTGTAATGACAGACAGCTGGAAGAAACACTTCTGATTCCAAGAGTATTTTTTTGTAAAATGTTGGAATGAATGAATGAAATGTTTGAATAGAGTGCATACAACCGCCCAGGCTCAACAGTCTCCGAATGAAACCACATTTCCTTTTTTTTTTGGATCTTCACCAAATTGCACAATTAAACAAAATCAATGAATTATTCTCTGAAAAATCAACAGAAATGTTGAAAAGCATCTGACAATGTTAAAGAAAGAAGTCCTTTCTCAGGTCATAAAAAATTCCATGAAGATCTATCCATGTAGTTTTCTGTGTAATCCTGCAAACAAACGCAGCTGAACCTTGCACACCTCTGCCTAGGCTCAACAGCTTAATTTGCACACCCATTGACATCAGTTCCCTAATCATGATTCATATTTTTTAATCAAGATTCATTAATTATTCCCTGGGAGATCAGTAAGAATGTTAAAAAAACACCTCTCACAGTGTTAAAGAAAGATATAGATCCACAACTAAATCTATTGGGTTCTTCCCTGACACAAATTACATCCTTCCACCATGTTTCACTGAAATCCATCTAGTTATTTTTGTGCAACAGTCGAACAACTAACCAACAACTGCACAGGGGTGAAAACATAATGCCCTTGGCGCAGGTAATAACAGGATGTGACTTGTGAGCCAGAAATGAAAACTGCACTCTCTAGAATTATGTGATGGTTTTGAAGTGATGGAGAAAGGCTGAATGACAACCCACAACACTGCAGAGTTTTCACACTCTACTCTGCGGCGGAGTTGATGCTACTCTGACAACAGGCTGCCTGTGCGGAGGAAGGGTTTGACCATTTTCTGTCCCGAATCTTGCTGTTGCTCCTCTCATTTATTTTGATAATGATATGGGCTGTGTTCCCTCACCCCTCACCCTAGATGAGACGTCCTATGAGGCCGGCATAAAGGTACAGCTTCACTCTCAGTCAGAGCCTCCTTTCCTCCACGAGCTGGGCTTCGGGGTCGCCCCCGGCTTCCAAACGTTCGTTTCCACCCAACAGCAGAGGGTAGCGTATGACTATCTGGGCTTGCTGCATGTCGATAAATGAATAAATTAACAAAAACATTAATAAATTACTATTGTTAAATGGCTACACTCTCGTCATCAAGTTTCATAGTTTCATCTGCTGCCCCTCTTGCCCCAAAGGAATGGATCCATCTGCCCCCCTCTGTGTGGCTGAACATCTGCAGTCCCTCCTCGTTGTCATTGTCTTCTCTGTTTATCAGATATAAATAAAAATCAGCTAATGTGTTTCATCCCAGCTTTCAGCCATTCATCCGAGTCTGTATCTCCATCAGAGCTGTCGCTTGGTTTCACCCTCTCACTGTCATGTACGTTTAACACTCACTGTCATCGAGACGATCCGCTGGGCTGCTCCTTAACGTCATTTACCAGACAATGTGATTCATTAGATTGTTATTTTCTATTGCCCACGGGGACCCTGGCACCAGTTTTGGTGTCTGGCATTTATTGCACGAGTGTTTTATCTCCAGTGGAACTCCAGTTATGAGAGTCTGTGGGCTAGAAATGGAATTCAATAAAGGCTTAATCATGTTTGCCACTTTTAAGTCCACCTCCTCAGTGAATTGTACTCTGTCTCCGTCACTCCGCATCGACTAAATGACCGTTAGGCCGTCAGAGTTAGCCCGCTTAGAGCTGCCGGAGATGATTAGGAATTACAGCGAACCCTAATGTGACAATAGCAGTATCGTTTCTCTGTGAAGTTTGTCAGGAGGAGGCCGCTGGCATTGATCGCTGGCGAGCTCCCGCCGCAATTAGTGCTGTTTGCTCAAATGCCCCAGCAAGCATCGGTGCCCCTCATAAATAATTGCTTCCTTTCTGTCATGAGAAATGTGTAGTCGGCATTCATTACCATAAATTGCAGTAAACAGGACTTTTAAAGGAAGCTGAAAGTCTTACGTGTGGTTAAATGTAACAGTCTTCGGTTTATACCCCCCCCAAAAAAATGAATACATAGATAAAATTGTTCCTTTAAAATGCTAAAGGGAGCTCCTAACAGATTGCCTGCAAACATTGCTGAAGCTACAAGAGGAGCGCCGTCGGTTTGATATTTAGTGGGAACCAAAACCTTAAAAAGTAATTTAACAGTCCTCATTAGTGGGTTCGTTTAGAATTCCCAGAGTTACTCATAAATGTGACCTGCTCTTCACCTTCTAAATGAGTTTCACCTCTAGTGAGACTGTGAACTGAAGATACGCCATATATTCTCAACCCATTGTTAAATCCACAAGCCTTTGCATTCAGAGTAGTGCGGTAATGAACCCTCATGGGTGTAGACGGGGAAATTTAAATAGTAAAACCCCCTTTAGTTAGCATTATTTATTAGGACCAATTCCCATTAAATGTACTACTTGTTAATGTTCTGCGCTGTATAACGTCTGTTCAATTCATTGAATTGTTCATTTGAAAAGTGTAAACTGTTTATTTACTGTTCTGAGTTTCATTCTCAGGATTGTAAAAGATTTGTCCATTGATTGTGGTGTCCTGTCTGAAACTATACATTCAACAGATTTCTATTAAGCCTGTCTCTATTCCCATGGTACTCTGCTTCCTACCGGGGACTAGACCTGCATTAGTAATGTTCTGCATGACGTCTGCTTGCTGCTATACATGAGCGATAATGTTGTTCTCACTGGACGTTTTTGTGCCGATATTGTCTCAGTGCACATTTTCATTTAAATGCATTTTTTGTTTCGTGACATTTTTGTTTTTTTTGTCAGCTTGTCGCCCCCTCTTTTTGAACTCCTGCTTTACTGTTATTTTTTTATTGTTTGTAATCCTGTGTGCTCATACACTGAGAGGAATCGTGTGCCGTTCGCTCTTTTCAGCTTCAGTACCTCCCTCCGCCATGGGGCGATTGCAAGTCTACTCCCATAGACTCTGAATACTTCTCCACGTACAGCATCACCGCCTGCCGTATTGACTGTGAGACCCGCTACCTGCTGGAGAACTGCAACTGCAGAATGGTTCACATGCCGGGTATGAATTACTGCTGATCCAGTGAGAAATGTGGCAGATATGTTTTTGTCCTCCTGTGGTGTTTTTATATTTGATGCTTAACTATTTTACCTTTATGTTATTTCAAACAGGGACTTCTACAGTTTGCACACCTGAACAGTATAAAGACTGTGCTGACCCAGCTTTAGGTGAGCCCACACACACTGTTCTCTATATGGATGTCCATATTAGAGTGATAGTTGCATTAATGTCTGAATTGAACCGCAGCAGTGCCGTGAGACTATTTTAATCCGCTCGATAAAACCTCTGCAGCTTTAACTTGGCATGACTTTCATCTCAGACCGTGTTGAAGCAAAATAATGAGGTAAAATTATTGTTTAAAAAATCCCATTAGCGAGATTTGTGATTCGTCCACGCTTCACTGATATCAAATAAATCCCACAGCGCTTTTCCTCTCCCTCCTCTCAGGACTTCAGTCATTATTTGCTTTCATGGAAAGTGAACGATGGCAGCGATTGTAGCTTGAAGAGATATTTTTAGCAGAGACTTTGAGAGCGTCTTGTTGTTTGATTCCTCGCAGATATCACAATGTGTTTGAATGACTTTGATCGTCCACAGACTTTTTGGTAGAGAAAGACAACGATTACTGTGTCTGTCAGACCCCCTGCAACATGACTCGCTATGGCAAGGAGCTGTCCATGGTTAAGATCCCCAGTAAGGCCTCTGCTAAATATCTGGCTAAGAAATTCAACAAAACTGAGCAATATATCGGGTAAGTATTATCGAACAGTAGTGAGTTTCTCAGGTAATGCCCTCTTTTCTTTTTCTCTGTTGATGTATGGCTGTACTGTGGACTAGCATGACCTGAGTCTCCATCGTTCACCTTCAATGTAACAATAATGAAATGACAGTTATCCAGCAAATGTGAGATTTCATTTAAGTCCAGTGTAATATGACCAGAAATAAAAGCTTGTGGGTGTGCTCTTTTCTGTCCTCCCTCCAGAGAAAACATATTGGTCTTGGACATCTTTTTCGAAGCTCTGAATTACGAGAAGATTGAGCAGAAGAAGGCCTATGAAATTGCGGGGCTCCTCGGTAAGATTCTCGGTTGATTGTGATAGAATAAACATGGCTGACCTCGGTATCGGCGCTCTCAGCGGGCCACCGCTGCACATTTCACAACGTGTGTTCACGCTTCATGCTTTGAGGTTCTCCCTCTTTGAAGTCGTGAAACTGGCTGAGCACATTTTCATAATCTGATGCTCTCGCAAGGGCAGCGGGGTTTGGGTCTAATGAGCAGTCGGGGCTGGATGGACACTTTTGAATGTTCTGCACAGATTATTTAGAGAGATACTGAATTAAAAGTGACAGCGTGGGGAATAGTTTCACACACACTCCATTGTTCAGTTGTTGCACCTGCTCATAAAGTGTCTGTTGTGTCTTTCTATAGGTGACATTGGAGGTCAGATGGGGCTGTTTATCGGAGCCAGTGTTTTAACAATACTGGAAATATTTGACTACCTATATGAGGTAAAATTTTAAATACCAAGTATTACTTTTCTTTATTTATGTCTCAATGTACCATACTTGAAGGTTCAGTGTGTAAGATTTAGGTCAAAGGGATTTAATGGCAGAAATTGGATATAAAATAATCCTACTGATGTTTTCACTAGTGTGTTTGATCTAAATTGTATGAATTATTTTCTTTACCCTTTATATTAAAATACTTTTTATTTGCATCTGGAGGGGTCCTCAACCTTTTGAGTTGTTATGACAACTGAAGGTTTCCACAGGTTTGCCATTATTGTTTGGAAGGGAAGGGTGAGGTGAGGGGTGTTCAGCTGCAATATGACACTTCACCACTAGATGTCCCAAAATTCTACACACTGATCCTTTAAAAGCTCATTAGATATATTTATATTGGGAAATATGAATTATCTATTTCCTGCTGAGAGTAAATGAGAAGATCAAACTATTAATTGCTGGACTGTTGCTTTAACAGCTAATAGACATTTTTTGGACTAATTATTCAGACTGCACTTGAGAGTCGTTGTCCTGCTCATGTTTGATGCTAATCTCAGTGTCTCAATGTCATACATCTGTAATGTGTATCTGCTGTTTTCTGCATTCAGGTGTTTAAGGATAAGGTTTTGGGTTACTTCACACGCAAGAAACGACCTCAGCGTTGCCAGAGCGACAATCTGGTAATTTCAGCTTCTCAGAATGTTTTGACTGAATGGAAAGAATGTGACGTGTTTGATGATCTCAGGAACTACGGCGATGACAAAGTGTCTGCTCGCACTTGAAATGCTTTTGATGAACAGCACCAGAGAGGAAGTGAAGCCACACGGCATCCTGTCATCATTAGTTTTAATTTATACTGCAATATTGACAAAGATCAAACTTAATCTTTCCAAACCTTTTTGTGGTTTTGACAAATCTTTGACACATTAATGGCCTCAAGTTTTATTTATGACTCACAAAGCTCTTATGATCACAGTTTGTGGCCTTTATCTTAGTTAAGCCTTCGCCTGTCGAGAGTTTACACAACTCACAGTAGCTTCTCTCAATCGAGCCATTAAAGTTTACTTAGAGCTGGAAAAGGCTTCATACTTGGGTTAGTCCACCTCGTGTGTGGCAGCACAATTAGATTCATGTGCGAGGAGATGATCGAGCAGAAAGCAGAACGAGATTAAGAGGTCTGGGGATTTTATTAACATTTGATGATGTACTCGTTTAGAAAGCCTTGAAGGCAATGAAACCCATTTTCACTTCAAAACTGAGGAGAGTAATGTGAGGCATTTCTTCCCTTAATCGAAATCACAGCATTTCGTTGAACCCAGTGGTTTAACACATGGCAACCAGAGGCATCTCCCCTGCAGGCTGTTACATAAGGTCTCTACAAAGGGATGAAGAAATTATTTATATCCAAAGTGCACCTTCTAATCAGCAAATGTTTGGCACGTACTGCTGAATCAAACATTCAGGAAAAGGTGGAAGAAGGTTTTACTTTCCCAACTTTGGTCTTAATTCTTTTGTTTTTCTTTTGAGATTCTCCACTTAAATGTGTTCACATCAACACAGAAATCTCTGGAGTGTGCAGGTGAGGGGTGGTGCAGCAGGCAGAGACAGGATGTAACGTATTCATTCTGCTGCGGAGATCACATGTTTTTGTTTTACAGCCCATCAACACCAGCCCATATTACAGAAAGCTCTCCTGAGTATCTTCGTCTGCGAGATATTTGTGTTCTTTATGTTGTTTCTTTCATTTCGAATGAATTCTGCGGAGGATCTCCTGCTGTGTTCTCACATCAACACCTCCAGACATTCTGCGGTCTTTGTATGCGGGGGCCAGATGGAGAAAGTCTGCCTCCTCCAGAGAATATCCAGAGGATATCTGAAGTTCAGTGCATGTCTGAGAGCAGCTTTAGCTCGAGGGACTACCATGGAACTTGGTGGCAGGATGTGGTTTGGGGTCAGGGAGCTTTGGTGCAGATCAGGATCAGAGAGTAGATCCAGAATTTTTGGGGTGCTTCACAAGATTTCTGTTGATTTCTCAGTGAATAATTTATGGATCTTGATAAAAAAAAAAGTCAGGCATGTTTAGGGGCCTAATTTTTATGAGTGTGTGCAATTTGGTGCATATCCAAAATAAAAATCACGTGAATTTAAATGTAATTTCATAAGTGGTCTATTGGACCTTGGTGGATGTACTTGTATGTGCACCTTTTAGCTATTTAATCATTCCAACACTTGAGATAACATTTTAAAAAAGTGTCACCAACTGCCAATATAACAACCTTCAAATTTCCTTGTCAATAAATAAAGAAAATATGTGACCTACTCTTTATAACCTATCAATGCCAGTAGACTTTATTTTCAAAGTCTGATCTGTAATAAGCACTCAGTCCTTTTCTCTCTCTAACACTTCTTGTGTCTAAAATAACAGCTTAAAGCACTTATCCGCCTCTGCAGGTCACTGTCAAGGCAAAAGCATAAACAAAAGCCGAAGCGTTTCTTCTTCTCTGGTGCCGTTTTATTCCAAAGCATCAAAGTTGATTTTAGTTCAATGGAGACATTTTGCATTTTACATTTTTTTTGTATCCAGCTTCTCTACAGTGTCAGAAATGCAAGCTCTGTTTCTTTGTCGCGTCACACGAGCCCAAGACTTTTTCATCAGGTGTAAAAAATAAAAAAGCCTGTAAAATAGATTGTAGCTCATAAGGTTGGTGAAGAAGTTGTGGGTTTGTGTCTGCATGAAGATTGTGTTCTTGCATGCTTGGTGGCCTCAGGTTGAGAAATTGATTTGACAGCTGATGTGGAACAAAAGGATGGAAAACACAACAAGGTCTTTGGTTAAGAAGGAAGTTGCTGTGCGGTGTTTGCAGGATCAGATTTTATTCATCAAAATCTGGTCAGAGACAAAACTTTTATTTCTTTAGTGGCTGACGTAAAGAGAGTATGTCCTGCTTTTCCTCTAGAGTCTGTCATCGTGTTATTCTGACTGTGTTCTGCTCCATCCATGTCATATGTTCACCTACTTATTACAAACCATCGTCTTTACCTCCTCTATCTCATATTCAGTGATTCTTTTTCAACTAGTCCAACGGGAAAACATCTCCACTCAAACAACCTGACGATGAAGTTATGCATTCAGTTTTTTTTTTTGCTCTTCTGGATAATAATAATTGCCCTGATTAAAAAAAACTCAAATCATTTCTTGAAACCACCAACTTTATTTTCCTTTTCGTGAGGGGGAAACACTCTCTTGCAGTATTCCCCTCGCAGTTTCAACTAATAGCATTTGCACTGTGTTTATTTTCATTTCAGTCACCCTCACCCATCTTTCTTTTCATCATGTCTATTCCAGGAGTTTCCAGAGAACCCAACCAGCCCTGGTGTCACGCCTAATCATGCCCCCAGGTAGCACACCCCATTGATAATAGATGCTCCCTCCCATGCTGTCCCTCTCTGTCATACATACTCAGCCATCTCATACATCATTTCCTCAGTGACTATGAATGATTTGGTTGGCTTCAGCAGAAAAGAAAGGGGTGATTGTGTAACTGTATCATTTTGCGCCGTGTCGTAGTTTAGTTTGGTGTGTGTCTGTATTTAACCGCTTCAGCAGGAGACATGAGTTGGTTGGTTTCTCTAAGCGCGTAAAAAAAAAAAGTAGCGCAAAACTTTCTCCTTGCACTAAAATAACGACGCTTTCTTTCCCATAGGATAAAGCTCAGTACTCGTGTGACATATCTATTGAATTATTGCACAAAAAGCTGAACCACATGAGAGCTATTTGTTTCCCTGCAGCACAGAGGTCCATTTAGAGGCAATGCATTTCAGGCTGGTGCCAGATAACATCACTAGATGCATCACTTTGTGATGTTATCGCAGGTCTGCATGCAGTGAGTTTGCACAAAATATAAATGGATCTTTGTCTGCTGGAATAGCCTTTTTTTTTTTTTTTTTTGGGCGAGTGAGGCTCCCAGTGTTGTTATCCACACATCAGTGGTTGTCCACTTAGCAAGTGTCCTCGCACACACAGGGAAATGCAGACGTATGTGGATGTTTCAGCTTCCGTGATTAAAAAGAATTGAACATGTTAGTGTGAAAAAGACAAGACTAAAAATCTGCTGTTTTTCTTTCTCCTCTCTCTCCTTTCATTCATCTTTCCCCACCTTCCCCCAATTTTCTTTAAACTCTCTTCTCGATCTTGGAACCTTCAAATCCGTTGTATTTGTTAACTCGCCACATACGTCTCCGTCATTCTCCATTGTATTCTGTCCTTTTGTCTTTTTTTATTTCTGTTCCTGCCACATTTATCCTCTCTTTTTATCCTCTTATTTTACCTGTGCATCATTCCTTTCCTTCATCATCATCATCATCATCATCGCTCCCTTCATTGCCCTTCCCTTAACCCGGTTGAACTCGTCTTCCCTCCTCCCCTCCCCTCTGTTCTGCAGAGCACCTGTGACACCCTCCGGAGTCACTCGGACAGTCTCGGATTCACGCCGAACATGTTACCTCGTCACCCGACTCTAGGCAACTTCGAGGAGTTTGCTTGTTGACGACATAAAGTAGGGGTCGGGGGTGGGGGTGGCACATGTGGGGGACTCGCCAGCAAACTGTGAAATAATTTATGTATTTAACAGAACAAGGGGTTGATTGTATAACTCAGAATCATATAGTAGAGTTTATCAATGCCTGAATAGAAATAGAATACTATCATCAGAAGAAAAAAAAAGAGAGACCACTTCCAAAACAGAACTCAGGTTTAACTGCCATGTCAAGGCGTCAGTGTTAATTTATTCATGTTTCATTTTGTGCAATTGTTTTTCTTATGCAGTCACTTTAGAATATACAATCACTGAAGATAATATACGTGTCCAAAAAGGGATTCTGACGAGTTACTGTTGTGCTAGTTTTTTTCTGTACATCGGTGGAAAAATAGAAGTCTACATGTGGACGGTGGTGTGTGTAACTTTGCAGTTTCTTCTCAGTGTTAACGTCTCCCGCATCTAACCAATGCTGTATCGAGTGACCTTATACCCGTCACCAGTTAGAACAGCAGAGCCTTTTTACCAATCTGCTCCACTTTGACGAGCTGATTGTCGGATATGAAAAGAACTGCTCACACCTGAATCCAAACACTGCACCAGTGTTTCACGTTGCCTTTTGCTACTTTGAGGCTTCGAGTCGAGCCTCGTTAATTATACAACTGTGTCTGAAAACAGAGGAGGAACTTGATTATTTGTACACATGCAAGGATTTAGTTGAGACGACAGAAGCTATGGAGCTGGATGTGTTTTGTTAACGTTACTCACTTTTTACATAAAGTACATTTAAAAAAAGGAGTCAGGAGGCAAAACAAGGCTGTTGATTGTACCTTTATATCTTTATATAGCTGATATGTTCATTTTCATTCACGTCTCCCATTTTTTCTGGGATAGTGTTGCTACGGCGACCGTCACAAAATGATGCTAGCGTTCAGCCCGCTGTAAAAGTCGGCCCTTATTTCACGTGGGACTCATCAGACCAAAAACAACAAACCAGGCGTTCTTCTGCCTTTTCTAATAATTCTGTTGTTTTTCTTGTCGTGTCTTAAAGGTGTTGATCAGCACAATGATAGTAATCTATTCTCTATTGAACATGACTGAGGGTTTAAATAAGGATTGTTGCTGACGTTGAAGTTTTTGGTGATTGCAACATGACAGCAGGAGAGATTATTATGTAGAAGAGAATTGCCTCAAAGCATCAAAACTACCATGCATCTCAGTTCAGTTGATTTATAACAGAAATGCATTGTACAATTTTACCATTGTATCCTCGTATAATTATTATTATTGCAGAACATGTAATGAGTCACAAATAAGAGTTTGTGATGTATAAATGATCAAGTATAATAAACTCTATATTTACCCATCTTACTCATGTACACAACTTTTCTTCTTATCTCTGTGTCCGTCCACTTCCTCCCCTCTCCTTGAAACCCTTGACACCACAGTTATGGACTTGGAGGTAGAGTCACACATCCCTCGCTATAAATACTTTATTGACTTTCTTTTTCTCTTCCGATGTGAAACTTTTCAAGTATAATGCCGATCACAGTGAGTGGTGGTCATAAACATTGTAGCTTTATTACCCTGTTGTCTGTTGTATTAGATGACTGTTGATGTGAAGCACAAACCCTTGGAGATCAGCCATCACTCGAAAGCCAATGACTGGACGTCTCTGGTTGTGACTACCTTTTACGGATCGACTTTTAACTTTCTCACACTGTTACGCACGGTGTGTTCACTGCTCCGGCGTTATCAGGGATAACGAGCGTTTTCTCCAAGAGGAGCCAGAGACCACCTCGTGAAGAGACTTTATCCAAATGGAAACGTTACCTTTCAGGAAAAGAAAAGAAAAAAAAAAAAGGTGAAATCGGTGGCGTTGCGTCATGAGCAATAAATGCACTGGATCAGAAAAGCCACTGTTATCAAACTAAAATGATTGATTTGGGATTATCATGACATGGTCAACAGCTGGAGTGGATGTAGACTACAAGCAGCTGCCAACTGCAACACACTAATGTACGATACACATGAATAACAACCATCATCATCATCAGCCAAAACAAAAGAGACACAAAAATGCCAATTCATGTTACGCCATGATGCTATTCTGAAGATGCTGCATTGTCATGACGATTTTAAGTGTGTGTGAGCGTGTGTAACGTTGAATCTACCGTGAACTGTGGGGGTGTGTAGGATTTGTAACTTTAACCCCCTGGCCCACCCCTGCCTTACCAGTGGAAGATCGGCAGAGTGTACGTGAACTGGCAGAAACTCATCCGTGACCTGTGTGTGCTCATTAAGTCAACCGACATTTACTGCATAGCTATGACCAAGTAGAAAAACAATATTCTATACTGTTACTGTACAGAGATTTGAGCTATTTTATTCTTACAGTTAATAAGTTATAATAATGATAACACGGCACAGCCCCTTGTTTTCTTCCTGCATGACCACTGTGTACCCCTCTATTATCTCTGGTCTCTAAATGTAATATTAGCCAAGCTATTCACTTTGTATTGTCCAAAGTGTATTTCTGGAGCCAGGTGAATCTAAGAGAGTTCTCCATATATAGTGTGGTGCAGTTTAGGATTTTTATAATAAATCATGCAACATTTAACTAAAGAACGATAAGTGTGCAGATGTGGAAAATTACAATATCAGACTTTTCTATGAGTTCAAAAACATAATGTGGCTTCAAGTTAAAAAAGATGTGCCTTTAAGACTGGTACTTTCAGGAAACATTAACATTTTTATCCACACACGCGGGGAACTGGATTCGCTTCATCTGGCTCTATGTGCATTTTATTGTAGATATGTGATTTTAACTCTAAACTGTACATTAAATAGTTCATACAATGAACCGTCCGTTGCGTTCTGAGTCTTAAACTAAACTGTTGCTGAACTGTGCCAACTGGGAACAGATTGTCTCGATGACATGTTCAATATCAGTGATGGGATCACAGATAAAAACACACACTGATCTGCTGAGGTTAGAACAGTTTGGGTTCATTGACACGAGATTTCAGTGTGTGGTTTTCTCTGAGCTCGTTTTATTGGTCGGATACGTCTCGGCTGGGAGAAGGTTTCTTGAGAGCTTCAATTATTAGTCAAATATCCAAAATCCTTAGACATTAGATTCTTTAAACAAGGATCACTTAATCAAACCTGTTATAAACTTAATCAATTTAAAGTCAAACTGTGATAGTAAATCAAACATAATCACGACACAACAGCAGATTTAAAGACATTTTCTTGAAATGCTGAGTTTTCTTTAGTTTATTATTAATATGCAGGCTGTGTAAATTATTGTCTAAGAAAGTCAAGCATCAAGGTTAATTCAGAAGCTGTTCTGGAGCTTTTAATCATCTCTCATGTTCTTCCACAGCAGATGGGGGTTTGCACACTTGTCATGGATTTGACGGAAAGCTCCGGAGCAGCTGCTAAATGGACCCTGACGAATGAATTGTTTGTCCAAGGTCAAAGATGCACTTCCAATCTCAAAAGCAAACACGCATTAATGTCGACTTTATCGAACACCGAGGCTCAGAGAACCGGCTGAAATATTCTTCCAACAAAAGCAAATATTCGAGCAAAGTGTGAACTCCACTCAAATTTAAATTCAAGCTGTGTAAAGTACTGAAGCAGTTTGAGAAGTCCTGTCACAACAATGAGAAACTGAGAGCAGATGCTTTTGTGTTTTTTTGATTGTAACTTCATCCACATAAAACCTTCAACATGTGAAATCCTAAAGAGGCGACTAAACACTACAGGTGCATTATTCAAATCATTCAAAAGGCAGTTTCTGTACCAAATGAAGTTGTGCTACATTTAAACAAATGCAAAAAAAATTAAAAATTAAAATGAGCAGACATTCCATCATCAATAAATACATGCATCCATTATCTTGTCTTATACGTCAGCAAAATGAAAATAAGTGCTTTTCCCTATAGATTCAAACACAGCTCATCATGTAGGCGCTGATGGGATAAGTAGCACTGTAATGATCTGAAGTCAAATAACACTGCAAGCTGTCGAGCATATTGACACATGTAACCAAAGTGGAAACAGCTAATGGGTGAAAACAGTCATATGAAAATACAGATTATCATCAAGATCCTCTGCCTTTTTCTTGAATCTCTGACTGACTGATTACAAAAGCGGTTTTAGAAAAGCTAAAAGAATAATAGAAATATGCCACAAATGGTCCACTGCTCATTAACATACATACAGATATATATTTATATTTATAATTGGCCCATTTATTGATAACCGGCTATAATCCTGGCTGTCAGTGTTCAACAAATTTTTAATATTATCGATAAACGATTTAAAATAAAAACCGTCATTTACAAAGTGCACAAAAAGACAAATAGGGAAATAAAAAAAGAAAAATTATAAATTAGCTTCCCATGCTATTATACAATCTTGTAACAATTAGTGGGACAATGTACTGTTGGTATGTGAAGCATCAGAAACAGGAAGTGTGCTAAAAATATATGTATAAAAAAATTAAATAACAGGAACACATTTGTTTCTACGATGTTTCCAGGAAAGACAAATGTAATTTGGCCCTAAACACAATGGAGACAGTGTCAGTTAATACATTTCCAATCTGATTAACAGTTTGTAGCTTAAAGGAGCAAAAATTAAATTCTGTGTGCAGACAAAAACACAATTTAGATAATAGAGAATCCTTCCATTGATAAATGAATAACAGATTTATATTTATGCTGCTTTAATTGGAGCAGTTATTTCAAATCATTTCCTACAATATTCCTCCGTCGTTAGAACCAAATTAAACACATTTCTAACCAGGAAACTTCTGAGGAAACAATGACAAACAAAATAAACCTAAAATATGTCCTTAAACTAATAACACACACACATAAAAAGAGGGAAACACTGACTTAAGCATTATCAGTAAGAAAAATCAGCTGCTTGTGATTCTTAAACTGGGAATATTTCAAATGACGTATTAAAATAGTGACTTTTTATTAGCATGAGCTGCCCCAGGAATCTGTGGTCTCCACCAGAGCTGTTTATCAGTAGGAGTGGTTATCGCAAATACAAACTTGAGCACTGAATTTCCATGTTTTGACTTAGAAAGTGTTTTGATTATAAAATCTGTTGAGATTTTTTAACTGTAAAATATCAAACTCTGTACAAATATACTCAAAATTATTATTATTATTATTCTTTAACACCCAAACTAAACCAATCCTCGTCAATTTTTTTAAAATTATTTGTTATTTAAAAGCTGAATGTTGATTTATATATAGCAACAGTCTCCACCAACTGTTAAGACTTCTGTTACTGGAAGCACACTGGCCAAACTGCTTTGTACGTTACATTATTGATTTAAAAAAAGGCTGTTTCTGTAAATGTGTTGTTTGCTAACAGCACTTCAGATTCAGATTCACCACAGATTCAAAGGGCTTTCGTTCAGTCATGGTCAACTATTTAAAAGTCAGGTGCCAATTTCATTCTCTTGGATTAGACAGGCTTCTTGTTGAGGACCATTTCTGCAGGTGACATTTTATTCAATGCAACACAGAGCACATCCTCCCACTTCAGCGCTAATTAACCGGGAGGCGTCTACGTACCAAATTAAACTGGCCTGCAATGTACAAGAAACAAAAACCTTGCAGGACTTTGTTCCACACAGAGGCACAACAGAATGAACTACAGGGGAGTGTTTGAAAAACCAGTGAGGGATTTTGCCTTGTTGGGACTGATCCTAATGAAACCAGCAGAGTGAAGGATGATTGATTCTGGCGGCTGAGGTTCACGCATAGGCAAGGTAGCGTTTAGGGAGGGCAGAAATCAGCAAAGTATGGGTGCTGCAAGGCCTCCTCTGCAGAGATCCTCTGGACAGGATTACATTTCAACAGGTTCTGAGTGAGAGCAAAAGAAACAGGTTAATAATTGAGCAGTAATATTGATTTTTTTTGTAACAAAACTACATGTTGGCAAAAACTGGTTCGAGATTCAAGCTCCTTCTTTTAGAAACATGACGAGAATACATTTTATTGATGTCAAGTTTAAAGGAAATGTATCTTAGCAGTTGGAAACATGAGTGTGTGCCTGACCTAGAAATGTGCATATTAGAGCAGCTCAACCTTTTTATTCTTTAATTACTGGATAGGTGAGTTGAAAGTGAAAATACCTGGAGTAGATCCCGTCCTGTGCTACTTAGTTTAGGGACAACATTCACCAGTGAGGTGGTGGCTGGATACATGGGGTATGGCTGCAGGTAGAAGGAGGCAGTACAATATATTACACTTAAAGAATTCAGTAAAACAAAGTATAATCAAAGCTAACACAGAATGAGTGACGTCAATAATTTACCTTGTAATCGGGGAGTTTGGTCATTGTCTGCCACTGTTCTTCAGTCGGCGTACCCAACAATGTACCGAGTGGTTAAAGAAACATTGTTTACCCACAGAGACTGGTTCAGACTGGTTTAGACAGAGGTGTTCTTATTAGAGATCAATGCCTGAGTCTCACAGTCCTAACAGTAAAAGCAGGAGCCTCCTCGTGTCAGTCTCTACAAATTGTGTCAAAAAAAGATATCTGAAGATTCTTTTCAACTGGTCGTCCACGTCATTCCCAGGGAATAAAGGCCTTCCAGCGTTAGCCAGCTCTGAACAGGACAAAGTAAAAGATTGTTAGTTTTATTCTCTTACGAAACAACCAGCCTACAACCAATCATTATTCAATACAACTTTAATTTTTACACCTTATTTTGAAAACTGTTTACGAAGATTTCACCTCATCTGGTAAGCTGTCCATAACTGCAGCCTCCAAACATTTAAAATCTAGTGCCTTGCTGTTTAGGCTTTTATGCACAACTTTAAAAGTACTGAAAATTCTTTGCGATGTCATGATTTAAAATACAATACACTTAAATGTATGCATTGTGCAATTTCATCACTAGTTCTACCTGTATCGTAGTTCCACTAAGTACAAGAACAGAGCGACACATACTGTATCCTCATTATCATCAACAATCACAAACAAACCTGCAAATATGCATCCAGCAGACCACATGTCGATTGAGGTAGAATAAAGTTTAGCACCAAACAGCACATCTGGAGGCCGGTACCACAAGGTCACCACCTACACGAGTCACAAAGAACAGTGTCATGATTAGACCAGGTATCAAAAATAGAATTCAAAAGAACTACATTAAAACAGTTGCACGTGAATAATGCTGCCGTCACTACTTTACTTAAGTCTCTGATTGTCAGAGAAGGACTTTTAAAAGAAATTGTGTCACATAAGAAAAAGTAAAAAAACTTTTAAACTCCACTCTGAAGCACTTTGTTGAATCTTTAAAGATGTGATGAACAACAATACTGATAAACTGCAGCATCCACAACACACAGTATTTCCATGTGGTGCAGCATCGTTCATTTCTTCTAGCTGAAATACTGCAGAGACTCAATATTTAAAATTCTTTGAGATGAAATGACCTTTTAAAACAAACTTCCAACATTTTCAGATCTGTAAAGTCACAGCAGGTCAACTGTCCCCCTAAAACGAGATGGCCCCGCCGAGCCCTCAGGTCAGCCAAGCAAGACCGCTAAACTTATCTGACACTCGATTCTCATTTCTCTGATAACATCAGCAACACAGAGAAAAATCAAACACCAACTAAACGACACGCTGCCGTGTGGTCCACTCGATTCCAGCATATTTTAATGGCTCAACTTCAAGACCTCAGAGACTTAAATTGAGGCCATTAAATGTGCAAGCAAACAATAAGACCATAAACAAAACGAGTCCATTTTAATAGCTTAGAAAACATTTGGGATTTTCATCAATACTGTTGCAGTTTGCTAGTTGGATGTTGATACTGTGCCATATTTTATATCACTTTATACTGAGATATGGATTTTCAGGTCAGGTTGTTGAGCTCTACAGAGCCTGGATGTTTTGTTTTATTGATTGCTTGAAATCTAGGAAAATATTTTTAGCAATAGATTTGGGGCTTCTTGACCTAGAAACAACTTCTTTAAAAAGCCTTGATGAAAGAGCAGACATCTTTTCCTAAACTTTGTTTGCCTCTGCAGATAAAACATTCAAAAATCAATCTACGACTTGGTTTATCTTCAGATATGGAATGTGACAAAATCAATGCAGCTCCACACGAGTTAGAGACTTTAGTTTGCTGTGTTAATGATGTACGACCTACCTCTGCTGAGTAACACCTCACAGGAATACCAAAGGCTCGAGCCAACCCAAAGTCAGCCAGCTTCAGCTCCCCATTCTGTAGAGAGAGAGAGAGAGAGAAGTCTTTACAGATGATAGCAACACACACTCATAAACTACAGAACATCAGAGGAGGCCATCTAGACAGAATACTCACTTTGCTTTCCTTCGACATTACGGAAACAGCATTCTGACTGACTGTTTATTGCAAACTAACTTTTAACCAGCCTTCAAGTCAAAGTCCAAATGCATGGAAACACTCACTCTGTTGATGAGAAGATTCTGTGGCTTCAGATCTCTGTGAAGGACGTTTCGACTGTGACAGAAAGCGAGGCCTTTCAGCAGCTGGTACATGAATGACTGTAAAAAACAAGAATAGAAACAAATCAATATGTGAGCCTCCAAGATGTAGCTGATGAGCTAATGACAGAATCACGTTATAAATCCAGTATGCATTTAAGAAGTAATACTATCCCTGGTTTAACTCTATTCTTGGATTATCCAGATTGTTGATCTCTCACCTTCACAGTTTCAGGATCTAGATCCCCATTGCAGCTGTCAAAATACTTCTTCAAATCCTGCAGTTGATAAGAGACACGTTAGCCTCAGGGGACACCCGTCAAAAACAAACTGTGAGTTACAAATCTCACCTGATCACAATATTCAAAAACCAAGGTTAACTTCTTGTCACTGTGCAAAACATCGTGTAGTCTGGAGGAGACAGAACAGACAGAAGTTGTTGTCAGTGAGATGCATTTTAAATCATCTGACAATCCTGCAGAGATCAGTTCGGTTGAAGTAGCACACTGACCTGACTATGTTTTTATGCTTGAGTTCCTTCAGAAGGCAGATTTCTCTCAGGGCAGAGCTGGGTACCCCCTGAAATGAATGACAGCCACTGTTGTTAGCATTAGCCTCCTGCACCGACAGCTTGCTTGTGTGCATGTAGGCTGCTAAAAAAAGAGGATTCGTGTTATCCTGCAAACGTACCTCGTCGTCATCGTCCAGCCTCACCCTTTTCAAAGCTACGATTTCGTGGGTTTCTCTGTTTTTCGCCTTGAAAACTGTCCCATAAGTTCCTGCGGGAGAGAAAGCGCAGGGTTAAATCCCAGTCAGCGTATCGATGAATGGCAAAGCCCTGACGTTAGCTAGCTAAACGTAGCTAGCGTTAATACCGTAAAACATGGCGGGCGGACATCCCCGGACAGATCTTGTCACTAACATGTACTAGTATTAGTTACTGTCGCTGTGTGTGTGGCTAACTAGGGGCTTTATTTAACCCAGGGACAACGCTTTAAATCTAGCTAACGTTAGCTAGCCCTGCAACTGCACAGGAGCTACGTTAGCAAACCAGGCTAGCTAATAGTAACTTTACAAAAAAGCGCAGGAACCTTACCCTCTCCGATTTTTTCCAGCTTTTCATATTTCTGCATGTTTGACCAAAGAAGCCAGTCCGGGACCAGCTACCGAACTAATGACTAATTAAAGCCCCACACTGGGGTTAATGGTGCTCAGGTGGCTAACGTTAGCTTAAAGCTAAGTGCACTCGGTTCCGCAGCAGCCAAGCTTGTGTTGTCGGTCCCCGGTGGACAAAAGATGAACTGCAGCATTCCGCAACATCACTGAATGCAGCAACTTCATCTCATCAGAGGAATCTTAGTTTTTTATTTGGAGACAAATGTGTAAAGAATAGAATATAACCTATAATTTAATATTGGTGCCTGTCATCTGAATAAATGTCACCACCACCAATCATACTCCTCATCATAAGGTTCAGTGTTTAGTCTCTTCACTTATGTTTTTGTGGGAAAACAAATCTTTCTAATTTGATTAAAAATATGGACAAAAACAAACAAAGTGCACTAATCACGACACAATTTTATTTATTTTTTCTATACATTATAACTTATCATTCTATACAGATACAGAGAAAACACTGTTATGAACGTCCCACTTAAGACTGTACATTAGTGTGGTTTGTTAAATCATCACAGACTGACCCAGTTGGTCCATTTGTAAAGTACATAAAACCTGAGTTTGTCATAAAAGTTGAACTGGAAATGGTAAATTTAAAATACATTTTGTTTCATCATTGTGTACATGCAACCCTCCCCCAGCGTTTAAAAATAAGCTCTATTATTCATTGAGTAAACATCATTTCCAGTGTTTATTTCGGCCCCTCAGCTCTTTGCCTGCGGATCAGATCAGAATACAGTCCTCCTTTGCTCAGCAGCTCTAAGTGAGACCCAGCCTTAAAAGAAAAGAGGAAACGGTTAGATACAATTTCAATATTACACAGTACATGAAAAAGAATCAATAATACTTATATGAATTACTGACAACTAGAAGAGTCAGTTCTCTTCTCTGCATCTCTGAACTTTGGACATTTTACAGGATATGACATCACCGTTGTTTTTCTGAGTACTCTGCCCCCTCACCTCCACAATGCGTCCATTGCTCATGACGCAGATCAGGTCAGCCCCTTGAATGGTGCTTAGCCGGTGGGCTATGATGAGCACAGTGCGACCCCTTGTGGCCCTGTCCAGAGCCTCCTGTACCACTCGCTCCGACTCTGCATCTAAAGCGCTGGTGGCTTCATCCAGCACCAGGATGCAGGGGTTCTTGATTAGGGCGCGGGCGATGGCGATGCGCTGTTTCTGGCCACCAGAGAGCGTCGCTCCTCGCTCACCTGGGTTTAGAAATCTGGTGCTTAGTATCTACATCTCAGTTTCTTAAGTGTAGTAAAACGGTCAATCAGAGTACCCACCAACCACAGTGTTGTAGCCATCTGGGAAACCGGTAATGAAGCGATGAGCATTAGCTTGCTTGGCTGCGTTAATGACCTCAGCATCTGTGGCCTCGGGCTTTCCAAAGCGGATGTTCTCCATGACAGATGATCCGAACAAAACTGGCTCCTGCAAACAGTATTGAAGGATTCAGAACAGTGAGATCTGGACAGCTACAAATGAGACTAATTAAGAATTGTATTAAACAAACCGATTAGTCATATACCTGTTTTTAAAAGAATGGGACATACTAATCATGAGCAACCTTTACCTGATTGATAAATCCAATAACTTCCCTTCTGAGCCACGACAGGTCGAGTGTTCGAATGTCAAGTCCATCCACCATGACCACACCGCTGGTCGGGTCGTAGAAACGCTCCAGCAATGACGCCACTGTGGACTTCCCTAAAATGCATTGGATTGATAGCTCAGGGCTCACAATCAGTTTACAAGTCACACAATTACAATTAGAATCAATAAAGTACCTCCTCCAGATTCTCCAACAATTGCAACAGTTTTACACGGAGGCAGTGTCAAGCTGAACTTCTTCAAAATCTGATGGCCAGGTCTTGTTGGGTAACTATAAATATATATAAAAAAAGAAATCAATAGATTTTATCATCTGATGTTAAAGTTCAGACAATGTCTGCAGTTGTACTGATGAGGTGAGGTCCTCACCTGAATGAAATGTCCACAAAGTCCACTCTTCCCATCAGAGAATGGTACGAGATGCGTCCTCCCCCTGACCCACGGATGGTTGGCTTCAAAACAAGATATTCAAAAACTCTGGCCCCCGAGCTGATTCCTCTCACCATCTGTAGAAAATGTTAGAAATTGACAGTTTGATATATAATTCTGCATTTTAAATGTATGTCACTCAGATAACCCATATTCTGTACATGTAAAGAATTTTTACTCACCTGACCAAAAAGGATAGAGATACTGGCCAATGACCTGAGCACAAAGACAATACACCAATCAACTAACACCAGATACATGTACTAGTTAATACAGAGCAATAATTGTGGAGAAAGTTAAACATTTTACCTTTGAACTGTCTGTGAAGCAACCAGGAAAGACATGAGGTCTCCAGGGGTCATTTCATTTCTAGAAATTAAAGTCCCTCCAGCGAAAATAGTTCCCAGAACGATGCCTGGATCATTGGCACAGAATGTAAAGACATTATTATTAAAAAAGTCCTGAGATATATGTTGATCAGTTAACATTAGTAACACACTCACAATTCAGGGCGATGTTTGACAGTCCTTGGAAGACTGCTATTCCAGCACCAAGATTTTCATTCAATTCACATGATTTGTCCACTTCATAAGCATATAACCTGGAGAAAAGCATTATTAGATAAAAACACATCATCTGATAACTCTGAGACACAGTATCCTGTGCTCTTAAAGCACTACAGTTGTGAGTTGATCAAAATATACTCTCACTTACTGGAGCTCCCGCTCCTCCATAGCAAAAGCTTTCACAGTCCGCACATTACCAAGTGCCTCATCTGCCACTCCTGTTGCTTTTGCCACCTGAAATGTATGTTTAGACACAGTCAGACATCAAATTAACATATGTTACAAACAGCAAAGGCTTCATTATATTCAGATTTAAGTGTACCTTTCCATTATGTATAAAACATGCTGTAAGCAGGGACAGATGAAGTAGGACAGATTCAGTTTTCTGTGTAAAAGCATCATTAAGCTTTATCTTCTAAAGATAATTTAACAACGCTGAGTTCTAAGAGGTAATAAAACTCAAACAATAGACATATATGTATAGAAGACATTGTGCAGTCCTACTCTACCTGTTCTTGAGCCAATCTGGATAGTTTGCGGAGGAACGAGCCAATGAGAGCCCCAGCTCCCACTAGACACGGAAGGACAACTACAGTCAAACCTGTGAGTTTAGGGGACATGATGTAGAGAGAGACAAAACATCCAACTGTCTGTGTAATACTCCGCAGACCCTGAAAATATGCAAAAAGAATGAATTGGAAAGTTAAAACTAGCAAATAGCTTGTACATATTGATTATTTTACAACACACGTTTACACTTCATACCTGAGAAATGACTAATTTAAAAGAGGACTTGAACTCCTGAATGTCAGCGGTCAAACGATTCACCAGCTGCCCAGTTTTATGAGCGTCAAAGAAAGCCACATCTTGCCTGAGAGGAAAAGTAAATATGACAGTGTTAGTAGCAGTTACTTCAAGATGAAATCTGTCTATCAACAGTGTGTAATGAGAGGAACCATGACTGCATGCATTCTGTGAAATGTACCTCAGTAAGGATGCGAACAGGGTCTTTCTCATGTCCGCTGCCACTCTCTCCCCAACCCGAGACAGCAGGATGATGTAGCCGGTCGTCAGCAGGCCCTGCACAGTGGGAGAAATGTATGTAAACACGACAAATACTTGCAAGTACTTTATTATAAGCATAAGATTCTGCTGATTGTTGATGAAGCAGTGGCGTTTTAAGCTGTGCAATAGAACAGATTTGGTTTTATGCACTTACCTGGACACCGTACAGGCCGAGCAGCTTCAAGGCAGGACCTCTTATCTCATAAACATAATTCCCAGTTTGTTCCCTCAGGTAACGCGCCACAACATTCACCAGATCCCCGAGCAACAAGGGGATCTGAATGTTCAAGATTGCTGCACCAAAAGCAAGCTGAGAAGAAAGACTTTCAGTTTAGCTAATCAGCAATTCCATTACAGCATTGATGACATGTCACTGTCTTAAGTGGCCTTACCACAACAGCTCCCATGAGAGCAAAGAGCTGAGGTTTGACAAATTCCCACAAGATATGCCATTTGAATTCCGGCGCAGGTTTTTTGGGGACAGCTTCCACCAGGGTAATGTTGTTATTTACGTCCTCCTCGCAGTGCGCCACATGGCAGAACAGCCGTGCGGAGACCGTGAGCACCGCTGGTCCCAGGATGAACTTCAGGGACACTCCCGGGGGTTTGGATGTTCGGGTGGCAGACTGGCGGACAGCTCTCTGAGTGAGGCACCACATACGACTGATGGCATGACCAGGCTGTTGTGAGGAGCTGTACCCATTTGATCCTGGAGATTTATACCACCTGGATTTGACAAAGAAGATTCATACAATTAGATGAAGAACATTAATTTAAAGGTTTTATAGAGCTAATGTAACAAAAGCAAGGCACTTAAATTTTCAACAGGCTTTCTGAATCAGGCATTTATCATTGTCAGATAATCTACGTTTATTTTATGATTTAAAGTATATTAACTATAACTATAATCTTAATCATTAATGAAGATGCTCATGGAAGTATGGCCCAATCAAAACAATCTTTATTTGGGAGATTACAAGATCTGCTAATGATATTTAAACTAATAGCATTTTAAATCATTGTGGATGTGGATACAGTTACATTATAGAATCACACATTTAGATATTGAAAACTGAACTGCTCTGTACTCTGTAGCAGAGAGGCAACACTTTCTGTACTGCATATACTTACAGATACATTTGAATGCTGATTACATACTTTTAATATCTTAACCTTCTTTGATTGTTGTCTTCCCCATCATTCATTGCTTTGGTACTTATAAATCTACATTGAGCCAATACGTTACTATCGATTATGAGCCATGTCGTGAGTATAAACTTCAAACTACTCAAAAATCTCAAGTGACTCCATTCAAAGCGATGCTAAACAACATTAGCTTTGGTAGCAGCCGGTCACATTGCTTTACCGTGACAGTTTCCAGATGTCAGCTGTTTTGTGACACCGCGGGTACAACGACAGTGAACGCACCGGAGCAGCGATGTTCGCTTTGCTGCAAAGTATGTGAAACATGTTCGATGCTAACTTCAGTGATGACAAACTCGTTAGGTCAAAAATAATCACTGAGCTCAACTGTAATCCACGGCCAACCTGCGGGCTGCCATGTTGGGTCTGACCCACAATGCATCTCTGTGCCTAATCTTTCCCTGTGTATTCAGGTCTGTGACAACACTGAGCGACTTCACGTCACAGCAGCTGATGATCCGAAGGATTTTAAATGATTTGTGAAACACTGATGAACCGAGACGCGACAAAAACACGAGTTTGTCCGGTTTAACCCCAAAAACTACAATCCTTCACCGGAAATGACATCAGCGTCTGCCGCGTTCAGGTAACATTATTCAAATACGATCAAAACAGCAGAGTGTGAAACTTCATACTTCAAGATCTATTGTCATTCCAAATCATGAGGTATATGAGAGGTCCCGGTTAGCAGCAATTAAATGAAACAAAAGAATCTAAATCCAAGCAGAAGCAGCACATAAGTACAACTAAAGAAAACAATAGAATCTCATACTAGAATGGGATATGTTGTTTCTATTCCATTGTATTTCTTATTCATGTGCATTGAAAATGTCTAATGCGGTGAAAAGAACTTTGCGTAATGTAAAGTAGAAGTGGACAATAATAAATACGCTACACGATAATAAGACAAGCTAACCAATCCAGCTAACTTCATGGATTGAACCAGATAAACACTGCAGCAAAATAGCAAATGTTATACTATTAGCTTGTTGTGACTAGATAGATAGATAGATAATTATGGTACAGCAGATGTAAGTGTATTTAAAAGGGTGAAAATAGTGCAAGAATAAAACTTACATAAAATACAAAACTAGAGATATAAAAATAATATATAAAAGCAAGTAAGGATAAACATGCACTGTCTATGACAGTGTTTTCCTTCTTATCCTGCTCCCGACGCTCCCTGAACGCGCCATTAAACCCGAAGTGACGTCAATGACGTTTTGTTGACATTTGTTTGTGAAAGACAAAAACACTGGACACACACGGGACGGTGCATTTCTGGAGACAGACCCCCGCACGGACCGAGGAGCAGCGGGTCGTCGTTTGAAACGCAGCCGCGTGTGTTGAAGGAGCCGCGGCCGCTGGTTGGAGCGGAGACGGAGGAAGATCCAGAGCAGATGGAACAAAACAAACCGTCGTCACCCTGACTACACGAGAGAGAGGCTGAATCATTCGCAGGCTAACCAGCCAGCTCACAGCTCCTCACACACTCAGCGTACGTACAGGCGTTGTGTGTTTATTTATTGTTAACAGTGTGTCCGTCTTCTTATTTTTTTAAAAACCGCTTCCAAGTGTTCCACATCCTGTCGCGGCAGCCTTGGGTTACACAAGCCCCGTCCGTCACACTAGCAAGTTAGCAAGCTAATGATAGCCGCGGCTAACGCTACCCTAACTTGAAGTGCTGGAGGAACCAGCTGCAGCATGTAGCCGGGGTCCCGACTCTGGATTCGTTGCAGACTGTGTTGAGCACACAAGCAGCCGTCAGCTGGGACACACCTGGAGAATGTGAAGCACAATGGCCAACTTTGAAGCTTACCAGGAGTACCAGAGGATTGAGGACTTCGAGGAGGACTCGCCACCGGGCGAGGAGGATTTACTGGTGCATGTGCCCGAAGGCCTGAAAGGTAATCGTGTTATTACTCAATTAAAACTATTACAAAAACTATAACAGATGTTCAGTGTGATTGGCTGCCCTCTCTGAGGAATCACAGTAACACCTTGTCGGTTTGAAGATGACACGATGCAACTTGGTCAAGGTTGGTTTGGAGATTGTGATTTATTTAATGCCCTGATTTTCTGTTCCAGATTCATGGCACCATATCAAGAACCTGGATAATTTCTTCACCAGGATATCCTTTTAATTACAGTGCAGATAAATAACAGGTCTGCCAAAGTGCACTGTCATTGCACATGTCACCTGCGGCAGGTCATGCTGACTCAAGCTTATTGAGATGCACTGTCACTAGTCATATTTAGAAACTGTTGATTTTCATGTTTACTTCTTGACTGAGTTACTACAGGAGCAACGTGAAAGTGATTTCCTACACAACCTCCAGTCTGATGTGTATTTTTTTTAGTTATATCTTGTGTTGTACTAAACAATATCTTTATCGATGTACATATAGTGACTGATGAAATACCAGGTCATGTTTGATGATTCTAGCTCAAATATTTCAGATTTTCCTTAACCAGCCTGTCCACATCTATCATTTTCATCAGAAGAATGGCTTCGCTTGTATGATGTTGTCAGAGTTCTTTGAACTAGTGTAAGTATTAGAAAGTATAGAGTTCACATACCTGAGGGATACACTGTGAGATATGAAGATAGATGTGCTTCAGTCAGGTGCATTGGGTTGAGGTTGATTGATGATGCAGATCCAACAGGATGATTTTTTGCTGTAAACCTTATTTATGATTTGTGCCTTAGGCTTCAGCATGAACAAGCTCAACCAGATGATTCCATCAGCAGTTCCATGGGAATGTGTTTACTTTGTAACCTTGAACTCCTCTTATGATAAGTTCCATTAGCTGCATTTCACTCATTTTAGTCCAGCGTGTCAGTGGAACATTTTGTTTATTTTACCGTCTTGCTGCTACCATGTTAGTAGGCCATCTCTGTTACTGGTGTTAGCCTGAATCTGGTGAGTTGCCACGGGGGGGGGGTCATTAATAATGGGACTGCTTAAACCATTAGCTGTAGAAATCTGGCTTCATAATGGCATTTCAAAACAAACCTCAGCCTCTCAACATATTTAATAAGAGAACTGGAATTGATCTGGCCTAACTGCCAGAATCTACTTTGAATTGATCACTTGTCAGCATATAAGGGAATATTTACTGTTTCCAAATTAAATAAAGTCACTCACACTTAGTGTTATGAATTAAAAAGCCTAATCTATTGTTTTCTTTTTCTCATCTCATCCTAACAGTCAGCTTTTGTTTGTTGTCACATTCACAACGTTCCTTGTCAACTGTGTGGAGTATGACGTCCTGTTTGCAAACCGAGCCGTCAATCACACTGGGTCAGGCCAGAATCCCTTGGACAGGAACAAAGTCACTCTCCCAGATGCCATCCTACCTGGTCCGGAGTGCACTCAGAGGTAATGTTGTTTAATGGAGTATTATGGAGAGCTTTGAATTTAATTGTTTACCCACAAGGGACTGAATTAAAAAAGCTTTATTCACATAAGTGGATGTCTGATGTACTTGTTTGATAAGATGCTTTGTTCTTAAGTAGACATGGTCCTGGATATAATTAGAACCCTTTTAGAGACAGACATTCAGAGGGATTTCATTTGTCCGGCTTAATACAGTTGTAATTAGACTTTCAGACTTTCTTATTGGATTGCGCCAGATGAGTCTTCAGAGGGCAAGACACAGTCGCACTTGTGGGGTAGGAACATGGAACAGAAGCTTATTCAGCTGTTGCAAGTGGGTTTCTTGCTTGAATTATGAGAACCCTCCAATATTTCCAAGCAATCATCATAATCGTCAGCAGCACTGTTTGCACTGATTTCAGAAGGAATAGTCTTTTCAATACTCTGTGTGAAATCATGAACAGTCAGCCACTTATCTGCTGACGGATGATGGAGTATCCATTTCTTGACCTTTTAGACAAAAAAGAAGCAACATTTCACTTTAGCACATCTTTTTGAAAACATCTCTCTAATTGAAGCTATTCAAGTTGGACAATTATCATAATATTAATAATATATTACAGGTAATTACAGAGTACCAGTACAGGTGGGATGTTGCAATTGTTTAAAAACTGTTTGAAAAAAACATAAAATGTTTAACTTGTTTTTTCTTTTATCAGTTTGAATTGTTAGTTTCTTTAACAGGTGAGAGCAGTTTCTATGAAATGTTTTGGGTTGTTGTTTATTTCAACCTGAGATCAGTATCTTCAAGTTGCAGCATTCTTGGAAAGTATTTGTGTTCTGTGTTCAGACTCACTTTGTAAGTGATAGCTTCAGTGATGTAAAACTGGCCCGCTGAGTTACTGACAACTTGGCTGGGCCAGCAAAGCTGACTACCACATGACACCTCACTAGCAGGCTGAAATGCCCCTCCCCCTCCCTATTTAGTCATATTTTTCTCAAGTTGTTTTCCTCCAGCTCCACTAATAGGCCTCTGATTAATTTGTTCCTCGTTCTGATTGTGGCTCACATGTCGTTTATATCAATGTTTGACTGTGAATTCTTATCTGGGAACAGCTTGTCCCACGATGTGGAAGCTCTCTGTCCTCATCTTGCCCCATCTCTTATTTCTATTTTAAAACCAGATGCTTGTCCCGAGAACATATTAGCACCTTATTTATGTCTAAAAATTACTTTATATACAATGATATGGGAATTACTTCAAAGAGCATCAGAATGGGGTAATGGCTGATGTGATCACCATGCAATTGTTTTGATATGGACTAGTAGCACTTTGAGTGGTCATCAGGACTAGAAAAGCGTTATATAAATAAACACCTTTTACTCGGAAGCTTCCTTAACTGTAAAGTAAGGTAAGTAGGTCACTTAATTCAAAACAAGAGCTCAGTAT